GGTCATTTAATCTCCATGAACTTCAGTTCTTTGGAAATGTGGAACTGACTGCAAATCCTCAAACTGCTTTCAGATAAACTTCTATGAAGGAAATTTGATGAAGGTCATAAGCACATGATACAAAGGTAAGTATTACCAAAATACAAGATATTACTGTTATGAAAGCTTTAATAAGACATACCCAGGCACTTCTTGATATTTTCAGTCTGTGATTTTATGCCTTGCAAAATGCCTAGTTCAGAAAATATTAACAATTCTTGGTCAATGACATCTGTAAAGTTCAGTCTGAAATCAATACATACATGTTTTATTTGAACATTCTATATAATTTGAATGCATTGCATAACATACCAATAGCAAGTTAGGTAAAGTATTTCTGGAATCAATATAAACATTAATGAGATGTAAATTTGTGACTGAGTGCAGTTTCTATAATCAATTATAAGTAGTCAAGATTAATTAAGTGATATAAATGTTGATTAAAAGGACAACTTATCATTACAGTAATGTAAAGAACATTCCTGTGGCTGAAAGTTCTAAAGACAATAACATCAGAGTTCCACAGTTTATACAGTGTTTCCTCGTGTATTGTATAATTTTATTGCTACAGCTACCCTTGGAGGTGGCACTGCTTGTTCCCTTACTGTGGCATGAAGAAGTGTCTCCCAAAGGCCCCATGAGTTTATACTGGGGGGCAAGAGAAACTTGAAGAGGTGGGGTCTAAGTCTTGTGTCTTTGCTTCCTCACCCTGAGCTTAGCAGCTTGCTTTCCCACTGGCCTCTTGCCATGATGTGCTGCTTTGTCCCAGAAGCACTGGGGCCAAATCACGGAAGGAAAATCTAAAACTATGAGCTGAAATCAAGCTCCTTTTTTAAAAAAATAAGTTTAAGACATCATGTATTTGTTATAGAAATGGAAAGCTGACTAACACATTCTCATTTATTAGATGAACTCAAAACCAGTGAAAACCAAGAAATGTGTAATTTAAGCGTTAAAGGATCTGGCAATAAATCTGGATCTTCAAATGTCTAGTTCATTGCTCTTGAAGATAAAGAAGCAAAGTGAATGCTGAAGTTTTAGCATCCAACCAGTCATTTACTCACCCTGGTTTAGTATAATTAACAGGATAAAGAATCCAGCAGAGATCTGGCTCCCACAAGCCAACGGGCCAGCAGGATTATGCATAAGACCTATACTGAACCCCACAAGTATAAGGGCTTTGAAAATGTTCGGGGAAAGGTGCTATGAGTTTATACATTTGATAATTTTAATCAGTTCAATAATAATTTTAGTGATACATTATAATTGGTAATCTTCAGAAATTCTTTTCCATCCCTCCAGCAGTTTGAATTGAGTTCAGTTTTATATAAAATGTTCTTTTGAAGGTCAGCCAACAAGTGCTACATTACTGTCATAAACAATGACTTTAGACAGAATCTGAGATAGAAAAGGGATGGTGACTAAGATCGTACTCAGGCTTATTTGAATTTGTGAGTTCACTTTAATGTCAATCACACTACACTAAGTGGTTAAGTATGAAATAATAAAAAAAATTATGATTTACTAGCTATAATGGAAAATATTATCTATGAAAAGATTATGAAGCTCAATTAAGTAGTTTGCTATAACACACATGCTACCTTTGCACTCTTTACAGAAGAGTTAGCAGAAACTGCATTGGGTTTTCGCCTGTACAAAGACAATTTTAAAAAATCAATTTGAGAACTTAGCTTGATATCAGAACCATTTGTTTAAGTTCTTCAAAGTAAAACACCTCATTATTACTCTCACTTGGGTACCGATCACATGTCACCGTTTGGATATACCAATTACCCTGTGTACAATCTCAACATAAAAGAAATATTCTTTGCAAAAGGGTAGTTAAATTTTTCTAACATAAATACCATAAGAGAACCATCTAATTGTAGTCATTTAAATTGTGTGTTTATAGTTGAAAAAGGTAAAGGCTCTGAAGACTAAATTACAAAAGTGAAAAAGAGACAATGAATAGTAGTGTCTTCATGATTCTCTTGTGGTTAGGATAAAATACCCTACACACACAAGGTAAAGGAGGAAAGGTTTATTGTAGCTCACAGTTTGTGGGGGTTTCAGGTGGCTCTAAGGCAAGGCAGCATAGCAGAGGGATGTGCCGGAGGAGAAACAGTCGTGGTACAGCAGGGAGGAACCACCAAGATCAAGACGGAAGGATACCATTCCAGGCACATGCGCACGAGCCCACCTCCTCCAACCAGGCTTCGCCTCCCAACGTCACACCCAACCCTCAACCCATCCATGGACTAATCCAACGTCACACATCACTCCCAAAGCCCCAGCTGCCTGAGGCATGGCGGGAGACATCTTCACTGGAGCCCTAGCAACTGAAGTACATTGCGACAGTATAAAATAGGAAGTTTGTACCATGGAATGTCTGTTGTCGGCAGCCTTCCAAAGCTGGTTTGAATCCCTGTTTGGTACTACAGTTTGTGCTTGAGCCTCAGTTCTCTCACTAAAGAAGGGGGTTAAGAGCATTTATCTTGCAGAATGGCTATGAGACTTAGAGATAATCTCCTGGTCAGGGCTTGTATCACACAATTCAGGTTCTATGAATTCCAATTTAGTACAACCAAAAGTGTGTGTGTGTGTGTGTGTGTGTGTGTGTATGTGTGTGTGTGTAGTTGCTTTATTCTCATATAGACTGCTCATAGGATTTTTGTTCAGCTACTATTTTTATTACATGCTCTCTTTTGTATTAATTAATGCATTCATAGGTGGATGGAACCCAGGGCGCTCTCTTTACCACTCAGCGAGCCAATACTACCTTATAATATACGGAGATGAACAGCTAGGAGACACAGCCTTATCCTCCCAGGAGTCTGTCAGAACCCAACCTGGAGTATCTGTCTTTGACAAGGTCATCCAAGCAGGAGAGTTCCGGGGACAGTTCTGCCTGTGGCTACAGAGCGAGCTCAGTTGGCTCTCCGTGGCTCCCTTCAAAATCCCCAGTAAGCTTCTCAAACTATGTACGTCCCTTGCCTTTAAATGCCCCGGACAAATCCTTTACACTAGTTATGCTTTAGTTTTTCGATAAACATTTTCGATAAAATGTTTTGAGACGCTGACTTCAAAGACAGCAAAATTAAATTACTTGCTTGGCTGTTTTAGATTGGACCAGAGAAGGAAAGCAGATACATAAACCTTTGGAAGAGTAAAGCCTGGCCGCAGGGGCCTAGAAATAGAAAAAGGTAAGGGCACCACCGAGATCGCGCCGCCACAGACGCCCAGTGAGCCCTGTCCAAGCCCGGAGCCGCAGTACTGAGCGGCGCGGGACCACTTTCCAGCATCCACTGGGGGGCCCTGTCCAGCCAGCCTATGAAAGCTGGGGAGCAGCAGACCCTGCCACGCTGCTTGCCTAAGGTGCCCCCGGGGGCTGCAACCCGGCATGAAAGTACAAAGCTGGGTTTCAGAAGACACAAGTCCTCCTGGCCGCGTCCCGAGGGTGCTAGGTACCTTCTCCTTTCCGTGCCCCGGATCCCGAGGCAGGAAGTTAGTGAACTTTCAAACGGAGGCGTCCGGCGGGCTAGGGGCGCTCCGCCGCGCCGTGGGGGCGGGGCGGGTGGCGGCG